CAACAAATCTTCAACCTCCCGCAAAACACCCAGCAAAACGCCCAATCATAAGTACTAAAGACATCTAAAAAAACACCACACTCAACCCTGAAAAACTCCTCACCATGTTCACCGCCTTACTATCCTTTCTCGAGCATGTTCTGTTTTCTCGTTCATCTCCAAGTGGCTGGGTGTAAAGTTCCCGTGCTACTCAGAGAGACGACGGCTTGACACTGGGACTCGACCACCAAGGCCCACACCAAGGCACGGTAGTTCACCTCCACGAAAACTCGCTCCGATACGAAGAGTGCGTCGCTACGCTAAAGGCGGATGCCATTCAGTTATCTAAATCTACCCTCTTGAAGGGATAAAGGAATCAAAGCTAGGCAACCATGACCTCCAAAGACTACAAGTCCAAAGCCAAGGGTTTTACCATGTCTTACCATATCCGTATATACGCTAGAGAAATACCGTAAAACCATGTGTACAATGGGTAAACCTCACAGACGTTGCAAGACTCTCTGCAAAACAGAAACTTATTGGCAACAAAAACAGGACTCACCATTGAATGCCATTTCTCTCAAATCAATTTAGTCATGTGTTCAAAGAAAACACCTTCGACCTTTCGCTTTGGTAGCAGTTCTCAGTCTGCTCAGCTCTCCATGCCCCAGTTCTCACCCGTTCTCAGTCTCAGTCAGCGCTCAACGCTCCGCGGAGATTGCTCCCCTCCTCGTGTGGAGGTGCGTAATTCACCTGCCGCAGGGACAGGGAGTGTTTGGATTCCAAGATACAGGAGGGACCCGTCCAACTGAAATTCCAGGGTTCGGGGGTGGGTATGATTTAAGCTTTAATGTACAATAGACTCTTGATGAAAAAAAACGCACTTGCCACTGGGTCCGAGCCTTCAGCTTTGTGCACGGCGTGGCTGTCACTTCGACGTTTGACTGGGTACGAGTAGAGTGCTGCCATGGGTTTGATGGTGCCATTTCTCTTTGGGATTTCAGTCCAGCTGGAGGCATAGACTGTCACTGCGTTTCTTCGCCAGAAATGGAGGGCTTCGTTGTGACTTGTCTTCTCAAAAGGCTTGTAGATATGTCTTTTAGTTCTCTGGTGCAGACTTGACGTACTGGATATCAGGCCCAAGGAACGTACTTGGCGCCAGACGGCTACTCTCTTGGTGAACTCTAACCACAGTGACCTGAGAAAGGACCCATCATCTGGGACCAGTAGCTTATGAAGCATTTGGCATATCCCAGACACGACCCATGGGACTGGCATATTTGCATACATTGACCCCTAAAACAAACCCAATGTAGGTAAATATGCCAGTCCCATGGAGTGTCTGGGTATAGTACTTAGCTCTTTCCCTGCGCCTATAAGACACCCTTCGTGTTTGTGACTTGCCATCGATCAGAGGTCTACAGGCTGTAGATGGTCATAGGCCATTCTTTTGGCTCAGCATTGCATCGTATATTTCTCAGTGATCTCAAGACGGGGTACAACCAAGTGTGTCTACGTTTTGGAGCATCTTGCATTCATTGGCAATTGTCCCACAGTGTACTACAACCCACCAGTACTCGTCACAAAGCTGCAAGTACTCCTCCCGAAAACATGGAAAGCAATTGATCGGCCACCTCACGACCCTTACAGTTGCGGAGCACAAGTAGTAAACGAAACGCACGCGCGCTGCACCGTGACAGGCTTTCTCAAAAAGCGCCGTCTTTCAGAGCTCAGAAGTCCAGACCCCGCCTGTCCATTGTCCAGCTGGGTGCACAAGTGCCGGTTGGCGAAGATCACCCGTCGATCCGGGTCCAAGGAAGCGAGGAGGCAGTCACCCCAAGGTGTAGAAACCTTCCTCGGGATGGACACCCCGAGCTTCTCGATCGGTGCAACGTTCTTGGCTTTTTTTTGAGTGGGTGGTGTGTGAAGGTAGTTTGAAGTGAAAGATGTTTTGAAGCCATGGTTCCGACCCCAACTGTTAGTATGTGTTGTTGTTTTCTTATGTGTGTGTCAGCAAAAAAGGGAATGGATACCAATCCCAAAACCTCAACGTGTCTATGTTTCACTGCTCTCAGCAAGTCGTTGCGGAAAAATCACCGGGTCTTTGCCCGAAATGGGAGGATGCCCCAGATCAAGTCGCTAAATGGTGATCCACTACATGGTGATCCAAGCTCATTGTGATCATCTCCTTCTCTCAGCACAAGCATCAGGACAGTCAACCCATCACGTGACGGAAACGAGCGTCACCCTCCAGCGAAACGGACGAAGCGGTTTCTGCTTCCAGATTGGCCCAAGAGGGGTCACCCATCGCGACCCATCTGCAGACGTTCCTCATCTGCTTCGATCCGGGCCAACATCCTTCCCCAAAAACATCACTCCGCCGTGCGTCCAACGATCGTCGCCCTTCACCTGAAGTCGGCTGCGGGGAGGCATGGGTTCTCATGTTGGAAGACATTGGAAGCATCATGCCCAAGCCCAATAAGATACATTGACCCCAGGTCAAGCGTCCCAATGAAGGTAAATTTGCCAGTCCCATGGAGTGTTTGGGAAGGTGCGGATTTCCCATGTGTTCCCCTGTGTCTGGCCTTGGTTTCTACCGTCAGAATCGGCCGGCGTGTCCTAAGAGCCCGTTTTTTGCGGGTCAAATACCTGAGATTTTACTGCAGCTGGATCATGAAACATTGTTCACTGAAGCGCGGGGACCAGGTTTTAAAGGTTCTATTGGGTCTTTGGCAACCTTTAGTGGGGAATGCGTTACTTACTTTCTGAGAGTTTACTACTAGCTCGTGGACCATTCACCACCGGGCTTTCATATGGTAGGACATGTGACATGCAGGGTCCGTCCGGAGTTGGAAGCTCTGCTTGAGAGCACGTCCCTGCAAATGAGCCTGGTCCAATGAGCCTGGGAAGGTCCCTCCAACTGTTTTACTCCTGACCCGTTAATCTGAAACCGCTCGAGCGCGCGCTCGACCTTGGGTGATGAAGTTTTCATGCCGGCGTATCAGCACAGGCCAAAGCCGGGTGGTGTACTCCTTGCTTCCCTCAGATCCCGTCATGTTCGCGCAGGATTTTGGTTGATTCCGGCCGAGGCTCCTGCACACCGCTTCCACCAATCAGCCCATAGCGTGGATGGACTCCCAACGGAGGCGCAGGCTTCGAGGGGTCATAGCCGCCACTCCTGGGAAAGATCGCATGAGTGGAATTCCACTGACCCAAACAGTACAAGTGGGTGGCTTTAAGTACATAGTCCAGTTTTATGCGTTGTTGGGGTTTTGGAACCTGGGTTTCTAGTCTCCCTAGCGCCAACTACTCCCGCTTCGAAGGTGGTTCAAGTGTGGGGAGTCTAACCACCTTCTGAGGATATGGTTGGAGACCACTGGTGCAAGAAAAAGGGCCTTAAAAAAATGATGCCCACGTATGGCATAGTGAAAGACATTGAGGTGGATTCCGATGTTTCAAAGACCTATAATATATACAGTATGTAACTATAGGTCCACCGCTCATAACGGGCCGTGGTACATGGCAATTCTGATCATGATTGGTATATGCACATAATTAGCTGTGGGAAAATGTGTTCAGCGTCTTCAAGCATTGAATGGCGTATTTACATTGGGAAACACATTTCCTGTGTACTTCCCAGTAGAATTGACACTTCAACATTCAAATCAAGTTGTCCGCAACTATCGAGCGTTTGTAAGTTTTAGGGTTATACAATCCATTGTTTTTTGGGGGTCTATTACCACACAAGCTCCTTTTCCAACTTCTGCTTGCACGCTCCGTGTGCTTTCAGCAATGTGTTCAAAGCCGAGTAGAACTCTTTTGGGGTCGCATGACTAGAACACACACGGTCGCGACTTCTTGGGCCTTCATGTACAAAGAATACGGCAATACAAGAGATAACAAAACGCATGGAAACGCCATGAAGAAAGAAGGCACATCCCCTGACACATACGCATGAAAAACAAAAATTCACTTCACGAGGAAGTAATTAGACACATTGCATGACATTGAATGGCTTTATGCAAGTACTTTTCCGGGGAACACACCGTGATTAAGAACGAACATATTCTACATCCACAACGGACGCTATTATCCCAGCCCCACCCTCCCCGGCCCTGCATAACCCATGTTTATCACACGAAAAATTGATGACATGTCTCATACCTTATAGTCATATATTAGACCTAGAAGCCATGTGACCCCTGTTTTGACTGAAAAAACACATGTTTGGGGTATTGGATGGTCCAAAATAGAGATCACTCAGGGTCTAGCAAAAAAACACATGAGAGCTTTAATGGGTCATTATAGGACTATGTAGCTTTAATATGCTTCAATAATACTACATTTGATGCTTAAAACAAAAAAGACACAACTACCTGCATGCTCCAACATCTTCCTTTGTGTGGGAAAACATCCATGGACGACGAGCCCCTCGGGCCCTCGGCTTTTCCGAACCGCTTTTCGCCGGGCATCATGGCACCACACACGCGCCGCACCGAGCACGGCGGCTTCCGAGTCTCTGCACCGCACGTTTGAGCCGAGAGAAACAGCAGGGGAAACACCCAAGTGTTCTGAGTCCATCAAAGGATGGTCCAGAAGATGGTGTTCAAATCTATGACATCGAGGTGTTCTTTTTGGTATTCCAAAGATTCAAATCAAATTGACTGAGCATGACTCAACGCATTGATGGCTTGAAACCCCGTCACTTCTTTGACCATGGAAACCTTCTTTGTCAAAATACCTCGACAAGAAACTGGTGATCAAATGTGATCAATAAGAGCCTTCATGAGCCTTTCGCCGTTCTAAGATGGAGACCAGACCCTTCGCCCTCTAACTAACACCCAAAGGCCCAGCAACCCTCAGCTCGCGGCCGGAACTTCGTGTGCCAAATCATAGATTTCACGATTGAATGTTCACGTCCCTTTGCTCATCCCCCTCAGAATCAAAACCACCACCGGTCAGGAGAGCGATCAAAAGCCAACATCGGCAGCTCGGATGAACTGGTCTCTCGGAAGTTGTGCCTTGGAGGCTCTGGACGGACACTGCGAGGCGCCTGATGAAGAAAATGGAGAAGGACAGGTCAATGGCCAAAGAACCGCACAATCGGTGATTTCGTACCGTGGGAGTAGAGGGTGCTAGGGTGGGTGCCAGGGTGGCAACTGGTGCCAGATGGTGCCAGGTACCACAGTCACTGGGTTCCTGGGTCTTGGTTGTTCACGAGATTTTGGGGGGTATCCGATAAATTGATCAACCAACCAAAGGCGAAGACCATCTATGCTACGATCGGATCGGTGAAGTTGCCATTTAAATCAATTTACAGCAATTTGTTTTGGAGGAATGGGTCTTCTGCCTTTGCTATCCTGGTCTGCGAGACCATAACCATCCATAACCCGAAACAAAAGAATCGTGAAACATGGGGCATGTCCATAAACATGTCCAGCAAAACTTGTCCCAAATCCTAGCTGTCGCCGGCCAAACGTGCCGAGATTCAGTGTGATACATTGGGTTGAACATCCATGGAGCTGGTGTTCCTGTGCGCGGGTATGGCCGGGCATGGCGGACCAGTTGAATAACATACCTCTGGGCTGGTTGAACATACCTCTCACGGCCCCACACATCTCAACACGAGAGATATCGCCTCCGACATGGACGCGGTGAGTTGTCACGAGGTTTTCGTACTATAGCAACCCTCGGTATCCCTCGGTGTGCCTGCACCTCCTCTTCGACATCGAAGGGATCAAACTCCCATCGGTGCACCTGAAAACACGGTGCCAAAGCACATCCGAATGGTTGGAAACGGCACGATGTCGATGTCGCACAGCTCTGTTGACTTCCCAACATGGAATCTGTATGGAATCTGTATATGGCACGTTTACATACCAACTGATACGGCCGCGGGTGAACCACCAACTGATCGGTACCATCTCTGCGCCGCCGCGCTCCGAGACAGGTCGGAAACGCTTTGACGTGGACGGTGGACGGTGGAGCCAGTGGACCCTCTGGAAACGAGTCGATACCATTCCCTATAGGGATCCGTTTTCGTACCGAACCGACACGGTTCGGTACGACTGGACCCGACGTGACTTGGCACCTACATAAGAGTGTCGAACACAGAAAACCGTACCTGAGAAGGTACGACTGGATCCCTAGGGATTGTTGTTGTAGAAGGACATCCCACTTGTAGAATGTCCGTGCAAGTATGGGTAGACCGGACATCTGCTGGAGATTCCTGCACGGTGACACCTCAATTGGGGTAGTTAGTCAAAGTGAGTAAACCCAAGAGTCACTTGGTCGCTAGTCTTCACACGTCACCCACCCAGTCCAAGACCACTGCACCTTCCATTCCTCAACGCCACTGGGAAGGCATAGGAGAAGAGAAGCCTGACGCCATGGAACCGTCATGGAAGAAGCATCACCTGGCCTGACATGCATCAGGCCAGGGGGTGTAAGGAACCGACCTTCACCGTACCTGCCAACCATGATAGACGCTATTATGGGTTGACCATACAGGCTATGAGTCTCTCAACCGGAACACCATGGTTGACCCATGACAATGAACAAACCAGACTACCAGGAAGGTCAACATGATTTTGGAGCTCGATCTGGGCGCGCAGGTTTGCTGTCATACATCGCTTGCATGGTGGAAATGACATGAATTTAACTACGGTCGTGCAAGCGGATGTACCACGTGCATATATACCTTGTGAATCACAGTAACACATCACCCATACTAGTTGGTGTTGGTGTTTCTGTTGAACATTGCCGACCAACTCACTAGTCTAGTGAATGGTGCGAGAGTTGTGAGTCACCCATTGCAGGAGGTCATCCACTTCGATCCAGGCCTGCAACGTCGACACGCAAAACACCCATAAACACCCTAGACCTTCATGTCAGGGTGTCCAGTGATGTCAGTCCGGTGGAGATCCACCAAGCGTAGTGGATAGTAACTGTAGGGTATTCAATTGGAGATCCCTTCGAAGGTGGAGGTGACTTGGGGGCCTTCCGGAGGTCCCTTGTCTCGAGCCCCAGGACGACCGCCTGACCACCTGAACGCTTCAGCTGCGCGCTAGACCTTGAGCTGCTTTGGTGTTTGACTCAGGGCGTGTCAGGAGGGGACCCAAGGGATGCTTGGGGTGGTGTCAGTCACGGTTAGTCTCTGTGTTGAAGACTGAAAATCACAAAATGGTTGGGGAGTGAGGAGACTGAGACACACATAAACAATCAATAAACAAAACAGTTATACTGCACATCGGATTCTGCCCGCCGCTGTATACAGTCTCCAAGTCTTTAGATCTTTAAAGGGGATCCACTTAGTCACAGTAGGTGTGGCAGGCAAGGGCCGAGCGCCTCAGCGCTGAGCGTCTGTTGCTTTTGGGTCAGGTTGGTCGGACGCGTGGACGCGTGATGCACTCGCAGCTTAGACCCAACATCTCCGGTGTTCACCGGACATAGATCACCCAATGGTCGCGGCACGGAACATAATCAGCCTAGGGTCCATGCACTTCCATGTTGGTGCATCGGAGGGTACGTACTCCACTGATTGCAATGTATGAACTCATGTGGGAATCTCGCAGAACTACTCAGGGGGGTACAATAGGCGTGCCAAAATGTTTCGCTTCGCCAAACAAGAGGGGAAAAAAGTTGTTTAATTAATGACCTTGTTCGGGGGTTTGATTTGGTATGGTTTTGCAGGCTCTACGTTTTGTGTTTTGCAAAGTTTTCTTACACCAGTCTATAGGCTATAGGGCCCGGTAACTAGGGCCCTATGGATCCCTATGGGCAGACCTTCCTCTTCTGGTTCTGTGCTCCCAGACCTCTCTGAGGAAAAAAGCACCACGCCCTCGCTTTGTCGCCTGGTCGCGCTTTGTCGGCGAGGTGCTTTGGAGCATCCGTGACTGGGGAGATCTCCAGTGGTTTCAGTCAGAGTGGATGGCACTGGTGCCCCAAGATGTCTTTTGGATGGGGGTCCATATGAACCACCAAACTTGGGGTAACCTGTGCCATCTACTCTCAAACCACAGCATCCAATTCGATCCGTAGCTGGATTAGCTGGGCGAGTGGCCACCGGGCGAGTGGCCAAGGGTGCCAAAAGCAGGCAAGCAGTCTGCATGTGTGCGGTCTCCTTGATGCGTTGACTTATTCTTGCTTGTTTCGTACCTGGACATATTGTTCATCGCATTCTCAGAAGTTTGCCACAAGAATATCAAGTAATGTTTCCCAAGACTTTCACGTCTCTTGCTCTCTTCCTCTCTGGGCGGTCCATGAAACAAACCTTGCCAGTTCCACCAGACATCACGGGTGATCCGTAGCTCACCCTTGGCCTCGCGAGAAACGGGCAAAAGCAGAGGACTCGCTGGGGAGGGCAAAGGCTTTGGAGGTCTTTGGATCCAGAGAATGTGGCGACTTTGGGACTCTCTGAGGGTACTAGGCACAAGAAGCTACTAGTAACAAGGGCATCGCTACTAGTAACAAGGGCATTACTACTGGTAGCAAATAGCTACTAGTAACTACTAGTGGTGATTTGAACCCAGAAAAATAGAAGCTTCTATCGAGGCTGTTCTAGCCATACTATTTTCGGTTCGGTAAGCTGATCAATTGCGACCATCTTTTTCAAAAAAAGGCTCACAAGTGAGCCCATCTATATACATGTTCAGTGCCTTTCTCAGGGCCCCCCCAAAAGACACGAGGCCACTCACATGCTCACCGGAGATTACTACACCTTTTCGGCAGAAGAGTTCGTCCTCTTCGTTCACCCGATCTTCGCCTCCACTTCTCCCTCCAGCGCTTCATATCGGCGCAAATCGTCCTGTCGCGCTCCGCGCGGCGCGGAGGGAGAGGGGTCCCGACCCTCTCAGCCCATCGGCCACTGAGTTGGCAGCGTTGGGGCTGGAACTTGCACACAGGCCCACATCAGGATGGGGAAGAAACGGACAGATACTGTAAGCACCTGGTTTTTATCATTCCCAGACACGACTAATGGGACTGGCATATTTACCGATCAGTTGGGGTGGTTGACCTGGGGTCAATGTATGTAAACATGCCAGTCCCATGGAGTGTCTGGGATTGATGGCTGTTGACCATAACATGCATTTCTTATCTGGGACTTCTTATTCATTCACTGCTTCGTTCATTAGGGCAGGCTTTTGTTCTGACTCTTTCAGAGACGGAGCCGGTGAAAGCATACCTACGTAGGCTAGACTCACCTCGGCATCTGAGAAAAATGGGCTTACTATTTACTATGCCTTACTTCATGATAGACTGATACGTCACCTACTTCGTGAGCTAGTCACAAGCCCACCCTACTCCACCCCGACTCGTGCAGTCCATCCGACTCCGTTGCGGTGCCTCGACGACATGGCCGCGCATCCTCTTCAAGCGCCCCAGGGAGGCACAGCAACAGCTACTGACCTCACGAACCGGTCGCGAGGCGACCGGCCTTCCCTCTCTCTCCCGGGTCTGGCCCCGGGTCTGGAGGGTCCGGGAGCATCTGGGATTTAAAGACATATCATTGATTAAACATGCCAGTTCTGGGGTGTCACCGGTGTCACCCCTTTTGGAAAACGCACATCACCCACCAGGGAAAAAAGATGGAGAGCTCCAGAGCTCCAGCACACGGAGTTCCTTCTCTAAACACCCAAAACACGCGGCTCACAGGCGAGCGCGAAAGCACAACCAAGAACAGAGCGGCAGGTTGAAATGATATGACCCTAACAAACCAGTCTCTCAAAATGCAATCATGGTCTTCATCGCCCTGACCTATCGAATATAATTCTACCTGGAGATCCACTACAGTCTAGTTTTCAGTGCCTTAAATATGTTGTTCATCCATGTTCGATGTGTTTGTTCAGCACCTCATCCCACAACCTGGTCACCTGTCACCTCATCCCACCACGTGCACCTCCGCGTGCCCCTCCGCGTGCCCCTCCGCCCCTTTCAGGTGTCCGCACGACGCCCTCGTGTCCCAGCACGCGCGTGAAGTAGCGACCACAGAAGAGCCATAGGCCCACCTAGTGCCGGGCCGTTGGAAGTCGGGCAGAACGTCGTCCGCCGGGTCCGCCCGGCGGACCCGTACGCCGTGGGCGGCGGACCGTGGACCCGTGTGGATTGAGGTGTTTCTTTAGGGCAATGAGTGCGGGAACTTTCAGCCTAGAGTGACTCAAGTTCAATCAATAGAAGGTCTTTTTTCACATGCCTTTGGTTGCGTTGGGCTCCACAATGGAAAGGAGGTCAGAGATGAAGGCTACATGGAGGGTGTGTGGAGAAAGGGGGTGAGCAAAAATCGCTTATACGAAGTTAGTGCAGCAAAAATACCTTCCACGAAGCTCTGCGAGGTTTTCTGGGATTTTGTTGCAGTCAGTTCTCCTCTATGGCTCACCATTGCACGAACTGTCCACGAATAGCCTTGGGTTCTACGAATGTCCCGCGCCTTCCGCGATGTTAGTAGAATAGGTTATTGCAAAACCCTTTCTGTGCACTACCCTTCCGTTTGCCTCTGAAGAGACGTGGCATTCCATATTCTGAACAGCAAGTATACCAGGCGGGCGCCATGCAAGAATGAGTAAGAATGATTGCAAATATATGGAATACCTGGGCGAGGTGAGAACAAACACAAAAATGCATCTGAGCACTGGTTCCGGGTCACCCAACGCGCTTCGCCGTGTCGTCGGCTAACTCCAAGACCACTGCCTGCGTGTGGAGCCAACCAAATACCGGGTTGAATCGAATAGGGTTGGCGCAATCTGGGGTGGGACAGGGTAACTTTGTGTACTTGCTTCCCAAAATCTTAGTATACTGAACGCCTCGAGTCAAACCAGCCGTGTCAGGTCAGTGCCTGGCTGGTCAGCTTGTGATTCCGGGGTTGTTCGCAGCTCATTCGGTGGGTCCACTGGCCACATCTGTCAGAGCCAAGCGGATGCAAGTGGCGTTCTCGACAAAAGGGGCAGGCTCGACACATGGGTGTAGATTTTTCCATAGGGAGACCGACACCCGTGGCGTTCCTGAGCCCCGGAAGGTTCGGTTCGGGAAATAGACCATTGGTTGAAGGAGAACCCTATGAAAATTCATACTAGACAAACTGGAGTCGGACTCAAAAGCTAAACCAAATCATTGCAGTGTTCCCTCACTTCTCAGATGTTCTTCCTCATAGTCCCTGCCAATTCATCAGCCAGGGCTGAAGCTCTCATTCGATGGGCCAGGGTCATTTCAGCCAAGGCTCTGCAATTTTCGGCCTGATGGAAGAACCGCCATTCGCAGCTGGCTGCCAACCACATACAGAGTCAATCCGGGACCAGTCTGCACGCGATTGGGGACATCCTAGCTCAGTCTAAATGTGCATCCAACCAAGCCCACTCGCAGGCCGGACGAACGGGAGAACCCTTCTCCACCGTCTTCGCTCTTCTGTAATGCAAACTCACATGGACCCTAAGGATTGACCCATCAAAGACCATGTTCCTCATGTGTTCCTCTACGAACACAGAGGCTTTCGGGGGATGGCATGTGAAGGCATGCGAGCAACGCGGTGCTTTTGCACCAGAAATGGACTGGGAAACACCCATCCAATCCCATGTCATCCAAAAAAGACATGAATCACATCCTCTCCGCCCCCCCGGCAGATGGCCGCTCCCCACAGCTCAGCCTTCTCCCCTTCCAGGCGCCGCCAGCGCTCGGCGCTGCGCGACAACACGGAGCCGCGCAAGGAGGCCAGGCTGTGGATCACCTGCTTCAATGCAGGTGCTGGTGCGGCGCTGGTTGGTCTATAGACATATCAAGAGAGGAGGGCCAGGAATTCCTGCCTGCCTGCTTGCGAAGTACTGCAGGGAGTGAATGGATGTATAGAAATCCATACAACTAATCAAGGGGAAATGCATAGAAATGTAACCATTAGGAGCAAGGGGCCTGAATGGCACACAACTTTCAAGGTTTACGGATTAGTTCGTTTTTTATCTACTCCAGGATTCAGGATGGTTGTAAAAGAAATGAGGACTGTGAAAATAACTATTACTCATCCCATCTCTGACCTCAGTAATGTTGCCTCGTGTTCGGAAACTTGCCACCAAAAACACGATCAACCAGTGAGCAACAAAACAACAACAATCCAAAACATCAAAAAAATGTAAAAAAATTGCCCCCACCAACTTTGCTGGAAACCACCAACAGCGTTACCTCCAACAAAAGAATTCGGCCACAAAAACCAGCAGCATCCAGCCCTTTCTTCAGCATCGCCGAAGGCGTCTCTAAGCGACCAGCGCGCGGCGCCGCCTCCATGGCCTCGTCGTGGGCGCGCACGAAGTGCCGGGGCCTGCGGGATGGACCGGTCGAGCACCCGAGCGTCGTCCGTCGAAAGCCGTCGGTCAAGCGGTCGGAATCGTCTTTGTGTGAAAGGACGTAGAAATCCGGAAAAACGTGTGACAGCATGACTTGTACATGACTTTGCAGGAGTCCACCAGATATATACCTAGCCTAGACCCTGAGTGACTTCCAATTGCAACGGCTTCTTCCTCGTGTGTCCCTATATCTCGCATGGGACTGGAGTGGTGTGAGCTCAAACCAGGAAAATGGTATCCAACCACCACAGCTACAGTCATCACACAAAGACCACAAGGACATGCAGCGGTTTCAGATGGCACAAACCCTAAGATGTCGTTTATAGGGGTCCATCTAAACAACCTAATAGGGGGATTGTCCAATCTACTGTGAAAACCACAAGTATTCCAGTACACAGAACAGATCAGAACAGTGAATGCCCGACCATATCGAGACACTCCACACATCCATACTCTGCTGAAGTTCTGAAGGGGATTCAAGAAGGAACATCGTGCTTTGCGCATGCAATGACCAATCTTCAACATATTGCCTATTTCACACATTCCATGAAATTCTTCCCCCAGTCAAGGATGCCACGGCCAACACTACACCAAGGCTCAGGGTTAAAGCTTCTTGCTCTGGACGCAAATTCCATATCACCTCCACTCCACTCTCCGCGTACCAAAAGCCCGCGCGAGGCGGTTGGAAGTTCACCAAGCCTCGGTCTAGGTAGGCAGTTGTGCCCCTTTTTGCTCGGAGGAAAGGGTCTATATGAGTCCAGGAGTCCAACGCAGATGGGGGGCGTGCAGTTGTTGATCAAGAGTCTATAGGTGCCAGGAGGGTCCAAGTACCTTCTGAGAAGGTACGATTTGATCCCTAGGGATTAGATGTAAGTGCCAAGGGAGTTGCCAGGGTCTCAGCCCAGAAGTTGGACGGACAAAATGACCCATGTGTTGCCGGAGAAGTTCCTGGAAAACACAAACTCTTCATACTCGGCCATCACTTGTGTAGGGCATTTGACTCATTTGACCCTTCCAATTTCTCAGGTGGACGTGAATCTGCTGAAAACAAACAAAAAAACACGTCCGCTCCTTGGAAAAACTCTGCAAGTCCTTGAGCTTCTCTGCACCCCTGAGACTTTGGTCGACGATCCCAAGTCTCCAGACCAGCCGACTCGACCCATGTGGTTGAATAGTTTTTGCCAAAAACCTAGCAAGTAACAGCAACTCCCGTGTTTGAGGGTGTGCAATATACGCATATATGTATATATATATACGCATGCATATATACGCCATCCATGCATATGTATTCAAATACTCCAAGCATCATCTGTGCTCCACGTTGGTTGCGTACTTGTAAATAGTGCCACCCTCCAAAGACCCTTTGAAACAGGAAAAAAACAAAACACTGCTTAAGGAACTTCTCTTTTCCTATCCAAATTACAGTATATTTGAATCTGATAAATTGCTATACAGGAACAACTCTTTCCAAATTCAACTGTATTTGAATCCGATTCACCATTGATTACCTATTACTTTATCATCCTATCGTCACGATCGTCGTTCGTTGTTTTGAAAAACCCTTCGAATCCCTTCGAGCAGTTCTCCATCAGGACTCTCAGCCGCTCCACCCGCCCACGCCCAACCCGGGCAGCGCCGACTCTTGGAGACCACCACGCCAGGCCCGACGCCCGGTGCAGCGGGGAGCGCCTGGGGGGTGGGGGCGGAGTGAGTATTTCTGCTGGGTTTTTGTTCTATGATGTTCTAGTTCTAGAGCTTTCCACAGAAACATTGAGTTGTCAAGTGTTTTGTTCATTATTTATTGTTGAAGACAAAGGAGCTGTTCTTCAGCTCCATCTGGACATTCTAATGTACATGTCCGCTATCTGTGGGTGAGTGATCGATCTATAGCACGTTCGAGAGAAGGCGCTTCAGAGACTACTGACTGCAACAAGCCCTCAGGCTTGTCTTAGATGTCGGTGACACGCACCACCAATGGGCTGCAGTACCCCCGGCAGCCCAGTAGCACAGGCTTGGACGGACTGGGATAGTGTTTCCCTAGTAGCCAGTGACCTGTCACGGGGCTGACCAGCTCCGGTTTGGCAGTCGTGACATGTTGTGAGACCAAACGTCATACGTTTGAACCAATTGAACCGTTCCGATGAATTTGGCAGTGCAAACCAATTTTGGAACTTAACCAGACACGACCCATGGGACTGGAATATATGCATAAATTGACCCCCAAACCACCCCAACTGATCGGCATTTATGGCAGTCCCATGGAGTGTCTGGGTGATGCTTTTTGAGGGGGCGTCCGCTTCGCCCGTGAGCCTGAAACCACCGAACAACCAAAGGCTTCCGGTGCGTGGTCGCTTTGGGCTTCCAAACCGTGCAGCGGCCACAGCAACTGGCCTTCCAAAGATTGGGCTTCTGTCGTGTTAAAACAAACAGAAGACTGCTAAAAATATCCATCTTTAATCCATCTGTCTGTCTGTTATGTTGGTACTTGCCACAGTATTCTTTTTCAATCTTTTTAACAACATCCGCCAACGGGTGATTGGGAGAGCCTGCCACGTGTTTTTTTCCATTTGCATTCGCCGAAGACGTCAATGTCCGTGGCAGCGCGTGTAGTGGTTCCCAATTCGGTTTGGGGGAGATGATCATGCCGCCAAAAGGAAAGAACAATTATATATATATAGCCCCATGCTTGGGGAGTTGTGCGTGCCATGGGCATTCAGCACACATGAGATGTGTTCAACGAGAAGACTCTGTTTCATGAGATGCTGGTGCAAGAGCCTCACTCAGACCAAGCTGGAGAAAACGCTAGGGTGCCAGTCTCTATAAAAACGTCCTTGTGGCCCTTCCGCCGCCAGCACCCAACAACATGCTCTGTCACCCCAGCCAGGCGTGAGGAAGTCAGCAGCTTGAGCAGCCTCCCACCTGCCCCTTTTCAACCCGGTTTTGCTCTACCAAGAGAGGTTTCTGTGACCTGAACAAGGACCGGAATTACTGGGGAAGCTCTACCACAGTTTTTAAGTTATAGGACCCTACTGGGGAGACTACAATAATCTATCTATCGGCTTCTTCCACAGAGGGACCAGGTCCCTCGCACCGGTCGTCCGGTCGCCTCTTCCGAGGGCCGCACCTGGAAGGGGATCGGATGTGCCACTGGCACCGGTTGGGTGCTACGACTGAACCATAGTACTGGGGGCATCCATCTTAGGCCAAGCCCTCAAACACAGTAGGTGTTGTAGGTGCTAAGCATGCATTGATGTTGCTATATATACACACACTACTATTTAGAGGGGTCTGATCACTCCGTATAGCGGTCCAAGCAGTGGAAAAACTGCTGTGAATGTCAAATCTGTCTTGCCAATGTTTCTTACGTGGTGCAAGCAACCCTGGGGAAAACCAGAGCCTGGTTTGCAATGGTTTGCAACCCTCGGACAGGATGGAAAACAGATGTCAGGTGAGGAGACATAGCGGCCCATCTCTTGAGCCAACCGCCCACCTCGGCGTAAAAGCCACAGCGGCTTTGAATCCGAATGGCCCCCTGCCGGCACCGGGAAGAAGACATGGGGGATCTTCTTGCTCCACTAGATGGTAGACTGTAGCCTCCTGATTATAATTATACATGGAGTCTAACAGTGTAGACTGTAGACTGTATAATCAAAACCCCCAAACATGAAGTTTTTAACATGTAAAACCATGTATACACTGTAACGCTATCCTCTAAAATGTTCTTCTTTAACAGGACAGGGGGGGGCGGGATGTACAGGATCCATGAGAAGCGTCACGCGTCCAAATCGGTTTGAATTGGTCCAATGTCTCCTCCGCCCTGTTTTCTTGTTTCTTCGGGGGATTTGAACGAACTCCAAATCAGTGCGACTCATGTGAGAGTCGATTTGTCCTTCACCAGGAATTCAACATTGAGATCTCCATATTAAACACTTGTGTAAACTCATGTAGATGCGGGTACCTGGTATAACCTCCTAAACACCTTGCATATGCATGCGTGAAGAACCCAAGACACCCCATGAAGCAGTACCATGGATAATTATTGATTGAACAATAATGAACAGTATGGACTCCATTGTCCATTGGGAAAATACATGGTTTTGACATGTTTTTACACATCCACATGTTAATTTGGGGAACCGCAACCGAGTTCTGAACTCAAGTTCCAGATTCCAAAGCAGTAGTGACGACCAGATCCATAGATCTCCACAGGGCCTTCAGCTCCGACTGGTCTTCCAACCTCCCCAGCCTAGCGTGTGTCCAATGGTTGGATATATATATATATCTATATATCTACAGTATAGGTCATTGTCTATCAAATAGAAACCCTGGGCATCCCTGGGCCCAAATCTTGGTCTGTTCCGATCTTTTGACTCTATTTGAGACTGAACTCGATCCATGGAACACCACGGTGAACCCCAAGGTGATCCCTGCACCTCTTCTTGTTTCATAGGGGAAACCCAATTGACATCAATCCCAAACGCTCCTGGAGCCTCATGTGGGGGCCGGCCCCTCATATGCAGGGGTCCAGCAAGGGGCGCATCTCTTGGGCTTTGCGGCGCCGGCCTCCGAGCCGCTAAAGAGTTCCTGGACAACGCCCACCTGGCGCACAGGATTGACAAATTGGTCTGGGATGAAGGACACAATTCTCACGACCGATGGGACTGGCATATTTATACCTACATTGAGGGTACTTGACCTGAGGTCAATGATGGTCAATGTATGTACAATCAGCTGTGGCTCAAAACCGGTGGATTTTGCTGTTTTTTTTCTCACCGAAAAATGAACAGATTACCAGCAAGATCAACGACCCCCATAGACCCCCATAGATCTCCCTCGATCTCGGGCCCATGCATCCCCATGACCCATGGCCGTTTTCGGATGGTGCATCGTTGGGGGAATGATGGCACTCATGCCCAAGGGAACCTCCGAAACGCTTCATCCAATCGACTCCATAGACTTCGTGCGGAGCGATTCATCGTGGGCAGCGGGGGGGTGATGCTGTAGGTGGTGAGCGCTGACTGGTGTGCGGAGTGGCCCATGCTGAGTGGTTCGGTTTCTGGAAGATGCTGAGCATGTTTTGCGGTGCGATCCTCAAGGTCACTGAAACATCACTGGTTGCACCACTGGTCAGAAGATGTCAGCAGGGTCTAGTACAAATCCTCAAAGATGCTGACATAAGGGATGAGTCTTCAACCACCGGGCAAAGCCAGGGCAAATCCGCAAGCCTCACCAGATGAACATAGATGAACATTCAGCCAAGACGTGGCTTCGGCCGACCGAACACTTCCATTCAGTCAACTCTTCTTAGAAGGAGATATATTGTGGCCACTCGGTCCAGGTCGTAGAATGATATACCCCATATAACTCATAATAGATCCATATATAATCGTATACTACAAAGGTTCTTTTCTCTCCCAAACCCCAAAAGATTAGTTTTGCTCTCCGACTCTCCGCACTCTCCGGAGTCTTTCCCTGTTTTTTTTCCCTATTTTGGCGTCGCGAAGGGTTCTCGTTGAACTCTGGGGGTTCGAGGCTTCGTGGGTTCCAAGTAAGAATGCTCCGTTCGTAGCGATGCCCTTTGTTCCCAGTAGCGTCCTTGCTCCTAGTAGTAAGGCCAGGAGCCCCTCGTAGAGGACCTTGTTACTAGTAGCCTTGTTTTTTTGTCTCCAAACCGCTCCAAAGCGCTCCACCGCTGCCGAGCCGCCGGTGCTTCGATCTTCTCGAGGCGCCACACGCCGTGGCCCGGAACCTCACCGTCGGAGTCAGCGGGCGGAAAGGGCAGGGCAGGCACATATATGGCGGGCTTAGATGGGAGAAAGAACATGCCCAGAGGCGACCCTGGACCTGAACCAACTGCTACATGTTCGAGGTCCAAAACCCGTGAGGGTCAAAACCCTAGCGAACTGAGGGTCCAATGAGCCTTTGGGTGGGAAAAAACGGTTTCTATACTCTCAGAACAATTCGGAGGCGAACTTGTTCGGTTTTTTGAAGGTGTTCATTCCATGATTCATCCAAGCTGTTCCAGGCGTCTTGCCTGGATGGTGGCCAGGACACTGGTCGCAGCCCGTGCTTTTCTCTTTTCTCTGTATCTTTTCTCTTTTCTTTTTCCCCTACTTTTCAGTGGTAAACTAAATGGCCAGTGGGACCTCTTCATATGGCAGGCTTAATAATATGAATGACCGTCTCCATTATTCAACCTCATAGACTGGACATTAGAAATGATCCATCTGATCCTGTTGATAAAGAATCTAAAGCCTTCACGTCCCAAAACCATCTACCACTCACTACCACTCATGATTGAACATAAAAACTGGATCCATCTGGATCTCCAAAGAAAGCTCATCCTGAAAAGGAAGCCCTGGTCCCGTTCGATTCTGACTCGTTCATTCGGACTCTAAATCCCGGGCCTCGCCTCTAAGCCAGGCTCGCTGGATGGTGACGGACTGGTGAGCGCGCTGAGGGGCCACACGAGGTGTCCCGCCTGGACCCACCTAGGCGATCGGCGATCGGCGGAAAAAACCGCCACCGGGGTCTTTGAGACCGGTTCCGCCTGGCGATCCCCAAGGCCCCGCATGGAGCAGACTGAAACACGGAGCTACGTCTGGACCGCTTCTCCACAGGCTCAAACCAAGTGGATTTTGTCCAGGTTCCATGTGACGTCTCAAGCCCAGGGCGTCAAAGAAATGTGGAACGATGTCGAAAGAAGATGTAAAGATGACAGCACCCCCAGGGCGTACGAGTTGATGGGTGAAAACTGCAGGTATTAGCGGCGATGTGGGTGCTGCTGGATATAGATAGATAGATAGATAGATAGATCGATAGATCGATAGATCGATAGATCGATAGATCGATAGATCGATAGATCGATAGACAGACAGACAGACAGAGAGATAGATAGATAGAAACTACATTGCTCATCTGCATTCACCTCCTTGGGGCAACCTACCTCAAAGTTAATATATAGTAACCTAATGACCTATATCACCCACCCTCTCTGGTTAATAGGGGCCTAATGCACCCTGTAGGCGAATTCCTGGCTACTATATAGGGGGTGAGGAATATATCCACCTGCCCTATTCCTAATATGACCTATATAGTAGCCTAATTCCTCACCCTCTCTGGCTACAGGTGGGGCATCAAAACCCGATGAGGTCGGCCAGAGAATGGTCTTCCACACGAGACTTGGTCGGCGGTTTCGTCTCCGAGATCTTCCAAGCGATGGCACAAAAGGTCAATCTGTCCCTCTTGACTCTTTACTGTTTTCTCTTTTCAGGGAGTCCAACACCTCATGAAGGGCTGGGCTGTCAGTTCCGAAAAAAGGACCCGGTGATTTGGATTCTGCGCTGAAGCGCCGTCAACTCTGCATGGCACCGTTTTCTCGATTCAAATGCCCCAGCACATGCCGGGCGAGTCACGGTGAGACCTTCGACTGTCCCAACGGGTGCAACGGAAGGTGCGGTGTTCTGAAGGTGCTGAGTTTTCCAAGTGTTGGGCAATGCCTCACCCTCTGAAAATGACAAAAAAGCAAAAATATGGCAAACAAGGCTGTCTCTCTTTCCTATGGCACGGAGACTTAGACGATTCACAACTAAATTTGGGAAGATTCTACTTTCTACTTTCTCTCTCTCTCTCTCTCTAACAGCAAGTTTTCCCATACCACTTCAACTCAGTGTGGCGGCCATCAAAACAGGTCAAAACCCTGCAAATTGGCTCAGAAGGATTCCTGACAATTGTCTGGCCTCATAGATGTACCGGACCATGTCCATGCACTTGTGAGATTCAGGAGGCCCAAGACTTGACATTGGATCTATGGATATTTGTTCACAGCTTGAGAGAAGGAAAAAAGTCAAGCCCAACCCTGCGATGTGTTGTTCTATTTTTCGATGATACGATTGAGACCTGTATATTACCTGGCGACCCCATGCTCTGCCAGTCCCCTGACCGCAGTCGATTGAGAAGCCGATTTTCGAAGCCCACGCCACGCAGGCGGCTGAAAATCGAGGCGGCTGACGTGTCCGGAAGCTCGAGGAGTTCGTTCATGGCAATCAGAATCATTTTTACTGCACAACCCCATGCATCACCTGGAAAGTACATGGAACTAAGGGGGTTCCCAGTGGAATCACAGGTAAGGGATGATGTAGCTCCTATCATCAAGTGTCTAGTGCAGGAATAATATTGTTAAACAATGTTTGTTCATGATAAAGGCCGGAACCATGGCTTGGTTCCACAACTCATGCCTAAACAAAAAATGCCTAAACAAAAAGCAGTTCAAACAATATATAATTGTAAATAATGCATATATTATTTGTATGATCAAGGAGTCATAAATATGTGTGACTATATTATTTCATATATATTATAATGATATACAGCAAAAGATAGCGATAGAACGACTTATAACTCTCACACCATCCCTTCCAGCTCTCTCAGTCGTTCACCATCACTTCCGACCCAAACCGTCGAACTTCCGAACCGCACTGGGCGCCCCAAAAGGCGGCACCAGTCGACGCCAGCGGTTTTTCGTTGGAAGAACGCGAGCCCAGCGCGGCCCAGCAAGATCTGCGGGCAAACTTGCCTGACATGACCATTGGATCCTTGTTACATCTTATGACAGAAATGGTCGGTGACAAGCCACTCGGATCCTGATCTACAAAAAACTGGATGTTTCTTGAAGCTGTTGGTGCGACTCCTCTGACTCCTCCCTTTACCTTGGCCACTTCTCTTCCCTTAGCTCGGCTCCGACCAAACTTCCGTGTTCAAAATGTTCTGGTCTTGGCAGCACTCAGGAATCTTCACTGAGGTGCATCTACAGAAACATCCACCTTCCACTTCGTTGAAGCTCTGTTTCAGGTTCTCTTTTGAAAAGGAAACACCCCGCCAGGCCACGGAAGCTCCTCAGATCTCAACGAAGGAATCTCCGACGCAACGCAGCTACGCAGCTACATCTCGTTCAGCTCGCGCTCATCCGGAAGCCTGGCTTGGAAGGCACGGAGTGTTGGCGAGAGAAGGTGACTGATGGCTTGACTCGAGGGCCATGGGTTCGAGTGGATTGAGGGTAGATTTTCGGCGCGGCACAATCATCAAAAAGGTGGTTTATGTGGACCTGCAACCAAAAAAGACATCTTGGGGCGCCAGTAGTGCCTTGTACTCTGAAACCACTGTAAAAGTTCTCGTTGTCTGAGTTGGGTTTTTTCTGAAAGATTTAGCATGACCAAGGTAGTTCCAGTAGTTGTTGGTATCTTTTGATGTATCCCAGGTGGTGCAAGATTACTGGCCCTACTAAAGGCATGTGTTCCAATTTCGTGGGTCTACAAATGTCTACACACCACATCCGGGGGGATCACTACACCCAGTCCTTTCGGAGAATTGCATGTGATTGCTTGATTTGTCCAACAGAAAGCTCCCTTTTTTTGCCCGGACCCTGTCTACCCCCCCCCATCAACCGCAGTCTACTCCTCTCGCGAGAGCCGCAATAGTCCTCCCCATGTTGGCGCCTAAAGAGCTTGAAGAAGCGGCTGAGGCCCGGCATCACCTGGGCTAAATGCAGGCGCCTTTGTCCACAAGAACCGCAGCCACCTTGAGATGGCTTGGGCCGTGGAACATGAACGACTTCCGAAGCCGACCGCGTGACCAACCAACACAAACTCGACCTCTTGACTTGACTATATCATATCTGGTGGATCTACATCTGTTTAAGTCATTTCCAAGTATCAACCCAAAACAACTCACCAATAAGCCGGCCGCGGGCCCGCTTTCGCTTACACATGCTTCAGACCCTTTCGTCTCCAGTGCTTCTCGGCACGTTGTCGGCCACCCAGGGCGTGAAGAGGATCGCGCCGATGTAAATCAGCGGCTTGAAGGGAATGGACGCCGTGTAGGCTCCTGGCGGCGCGTCCAGAGGGTGTGGCCAGCCACACGACGGCGACGGGACCAAAGAAACGCCGTCCAGGTGAGCAACTGGAAGGCAGCTTTCTGCGGAGAGCTGTTCCACAAGTTGGGCAACAGGTTCTGGTTAAGAGGGGCTTGCACTGGGAAGATTGTGGCAAGCAAAAGACTCCCAATATCTCCCAATGTAGCAGTCAACTGCCGACTCAGCTTGTTCGGATGAGCAGATTACGTTGATGAGGAAATCTGAAGCGACACTTGGTCGCCGACAATCTAATACGCGGAACTACTTCATGGATGGAGGGTGACTACTTCATTGATGACCCAAAAGTCATCTCAAGATATTGAGCAGTGACTGTTCTCTGCATTGAACTATACTCTGGTGCACGGTGAAGTGACCCCTGAGCCTTTGGGGCACCGGGCGAAAGCGTTCTACCCGAACCAAATTCCGGGCCCTGAACCCATTGAGAAAGGACTTGGTTCGGGTCCAGACCCCTGCGTTTGGGATGCGTGTCGTGTGCAAGGATTCTTTGGGTAGTTGATCACAGTCGATCGTGCAGCTTCATGTCGAAGGACCGGAAGGACCATTTCATCCATGAGGTTTCCCCACCCCAGCCCCACCCACACAAAGAAACCGCCGCGCCGCCGCTTTCGATTTCGACCACCTGCATTGGTTTTCGTAGGAAAAAACAAACACCTCCAAACTTCCATATAGGTCCCCCCCTTCTTCGACGTGCTGCGTTGCTGTTGCGTACGACCTGTGTGTTGGTACCGGATCTCCTGGCATGTCCGGAGCCTGGCATGGGTCACAACCCTGTCTCCTGCCATGACCAGGCTCATGGTGGCGGCTCCAGTGAGCACGGTGGTGTAGTAGGCATAGCTGATGAACGGGATGTTCAAGGTCCAGTAGAGTGTGTAGGACTCGGACGAGAAACCAGGACACCAGGCATGCGGCATGAGTCTCATCTGAACTGAACTGAACTACATTGACTTCAGAGTACAATCCCCAAAAGGTCCTTTATATGGACTCCCATATAGAGATTATAAAGGACATCATTGGGTTTGTGCCATCTACTCTGAAACCACTGTAATTGGATATACTACGTTCTTCCTTGGTGAGAAGATGAACTGAAGGAAGGTGGGGCATGCACTTCTGAACACTGGATAGTTGTTTCTGAAGGAAGGTGGAACATTGCGAAGATGCGCCATCCATGGGCCATCACTATCAGATGTTACTTCTTCTGGTGCTTCGACCTTCCCTTGGTGGCCACAGGACCTCCTCTTTTGCCCCAACAACCGGCTGCCGGACCCTGTACCTTGTGCTCGCTCCATGTGCTCCGTCGATCCAAGGAGGTCGATCGGTTGTCCGGTGGATCCAAGGAGCTAAGATCAAGGAGATGGGGAAGGCAGGGCCGAGTCCTTGAGCAAGGAGCCATCCTGGAAGCGTATACAAGCAGGTGGTGAACGATGAGAGAGAGGCGATAGCATGCGATAGCATGCGATAGCATGCGATAGCATGCGATAGCTGGTTGGGAGAGCGAAACTGGGGAGATGGGTTTACAGGAGGGTCCAAGCAACATTGACCTGCTATACTACATTCTTATAC